TCAAGTCCTACTTTTCAGTTAATCACTCGCTAGAATTTACAGCCATTTATTATAATGTTCTTGTTTATTTAAAGAATATAAGGAAGATCCATGCAGATCTCTTTCCATACGAAGTTGGTATGAAAATTGATCTGTCAAATGCTTCCTCTGAAAAGGAAGATTTGATTTCCATTGTCTAGCTATGATTATTTTCGTTGCTAAGAAACAGTGTAAAACAAGGCACTTTAATGAAGTGGAAGATAAAGCCCAGTTTAAATGTAATAGGGCTATCTCAGATCCTTTTTTAAAATTTATTTTAAATAGGGATTTCAGTAATTCATAGGCCTACGACCATAAAGGTTTTACCAATTTGCAGTACCACCATATGTGTAAGAGGGATCCATCTAAACAACCACACCACCAACAATGTGGATTCTGATCAGGATAAATCTTAGAAATCTTAAATGGTGTCAAATACCATTTATACATTATCTTGTATTGACATTCTTTTAAATTCAAATAATGAATATGTTTCCGTATATCCTTAAGGGTGCAACACCATTCATTGTCGCTTATATCCATTGCTAAATCTTTTTTCCATTTATCAACAATATATATAGGTTTTTGATCAGAAAGAAGTGTTAAGTTTGTGGCTTTAGAGGTTTTTTTTTTTTTTTACTTTAGTATAGTTAAAAAATGATTGGATTAAAGTATCAACTGTAGATGTATTTCTTAATAAGGCTTTATTTAAAAAGTTCTTAATTCTCAAATACGAAAAAAGTTCTTTATTTGATAGGTGTAATTTAACTTTAATATCAGCAAAAGGTAATAACTGATGTTTTTGCCAGATATCTTTAATACTCCATTGGAATTTAGACCAATTATGTAGAGAGATATCCTGTATATTGTCTTCCAAAGCAACCAAATGACATCACATGTGCACGTTTATTGAGCCACATACTTATCCACAATATCATTTTGCACGTATGACTTTTTTCAGTACCATCTGCACTATATGTGTTTTTATCTTTTTGTATAGATTTCCAAACATTGTATAGATTTCCAAACAACTATGTTTAGTTAGAGGTAAGATAACCCAGTGCATGTGATTTTTATTTATAGCGCTCCACTACTGTATTATAAGTTGAGCACTAATAAACACTTTTTTTTTTTGTAGATCATTAACCAAGTCTACCATAAAGAGAAAACTTCACAAGGTGCAAACCATTCATGAGCTTTAAAAATAGAAAGGCCAGGTTAGACTTTGCCAAACAACATCTACAAATGCCAGCCCAGTTCTGGAACAGCATTCTTTGGACAGATGAAACCTGTACCAGAATGATGGAAAGAAACAAAGTATGGAGAAGGCTTGGAACGGCTCATGATCTGAAGCATACCACATTATCTGTAAAACACAGTGGAGGCAGTGTAATGGCATGGGCATGCATGGCTTCCAATGTAATCAGGTCACTAGTATTTATTGATGATGTGACAGAAGACAGAAGCAACCGAATGAATTCTGAAATGTATAGGGATATATTGTCTGCTCAGATTGAGACAAATTCAGCAAAGTTAATTGGATGACACTTCAACTTACAGATGGACAATGACCCCAAACATACTGTGAAAGCAACCCAAGAGTTTAAGGCATAGAAGTGGAATATTCTGCAATGGCCAAGTCAGTCATCTGATTTCAACCCGATCGAGCATGCATTTCACTTGCTGAAGACAAAACATAAAGCAGAACGACCCATGAGCAAACAACAGCTGAAGACAACTGCAATAAAGGACTGTGAAAGCATCACAAAGGCGGGAACCCAGCATTTGGTGATGTCCATGCATTTCAGACTTCAAGCAGTCATTGCCTGCAAAGGATTCTTGACAAAGTATTACAAATTAACATTTTATTTATCATTTTGTTAATTTGTCTAATTACATTTTAGCCCCTGAAATAAGGAGATTGTGTATAAAAATGGTTTCATACAATATTTTTGTTCAACCCTTTGCGTGAAATTGCATCTAATTTATTTCATTTCAAATCCATTGGGGTGGCTTACAGAGACAAAATTAGGAAAATTGTGTCAGCGTCCAAATATTTACCATACCTAATTGTAGTATGTAGTCATATATATATATATATATATATATATATATATATACACGACTATCCCCTTATCATCAAACTGACAGGATAAAGGGATATAAGATCTTTATTAAACTAGATATCAGGAGTATATAACCTGGTGAAGATTAGTCCAGCTATAACAACCATAGTAAGCACTATGAATACACCATGATGCCTTTAGGTCTGTGTAATGCCTCAGCCATTTTTCAGGAATTTATCAATGCCGAACTGAGAGACTTCCTTCAATCTTGTGTCATTGTCTACCTTGACAACATTCAATGCATAATTGCCATTACCTCATCTGTCCTTTTAACATCTTTAAAGGAAGATATTACCTATTCCCAGTATTCGAAGCTTGTCAATAACCAATCTGGTAAACTTTTTATCCCTATCCATCTTAGAACACCCATCCTCAAACATCTCCATGCCTCCTGATCACAGGGGTGTTTACAAGACTGTTTTTCTAATTTCCTGAGAAGTTTGGTGGAGTGAAGGATTACTAAGGGCATGAAGGATTTCGTAGCAGTCTGTCCCACCTGTACCCAGAATAAAGTTCCTCATATTCTTCCATGTGGCTTACTTTCCCATCTTCAAGTTCAAGAATGTCTTTGGTCTTACCTTTCCATATATTTTATTGTGACCTACATCCATCCAAATGGTTTACTACTATCCTCATGGTCATGGATAGATTATCCAAGATGACAGACTTTATCCCACTACTGAGTTATCTTCCTCTGAGCCAGGGACTTCTCCTGAGAAATCATCAGGTTACATAAGTTGCCTATGGAGATAGTTTCAGAACTTTGTATCTTTGCCTTTGTTAGGGTTGTGAGTTATCTTGTGGGGATCATTCTCTGCTTCTGACATCAGCCAATGAATGAGCAACAGGATCAGCATCCAACTGCGTCCGGATCTGGCTCCTGCAGCTCTGCAGAAGCTAAATAACCTAAACTTGCCTATACATGAAACTGACACTTGGCAGGACTCAGAAAATGTGAATCACACTTCTTGCCCAACAAACAGTAGTCTCTTTAGCATTTTTTGTTTTTAGTTACAGCTATGTTTTCATCTAATTTACCAATCATTTCACAAAGAATTCTCTCTTTCTTTTTCAATTTAACACTCTCTTTCACTACAAGATACATTTCTTCTACATTTTCCATATCTCTCTCAACTTTCTTTAAGTTGTTTATTTCAAAATCCATTATGATTTCCATTAGTGTGAGAGACCATCTTTCCAAAGCTTGTTCCCATCTTTGGGCACAAATACTTTGTTCTAATCCATTGGCTGGATTCTTTTCCAGTCTCAACCCCCTTGTTATTAGATTGTCATAATTTCCCTCCCCGTGATTTCCATTTTCCTTTTTTTTTTTTTTTTTTTGTATTTTATTGAGTTTACATGAATAAATATCACCATACACAGTTGCACATGTCTGAACAGTGAGTATAAAGGGGTGCAAGTTGCAGCTTGCTTCTGGGACATACAATTGCTGGTTTACATGGCCTAATACAATCCTGAAGAATGGATAAGTATCTCATGAGAATTCAAGTGTTGTATACCCATAGTCGGTGCATAGTCTTGACGTACGAATCTGTGTAAGGAAGGGAGCAGTAACATAACGAAAAAAGGGGGAAACAGAGAGAGAGAGAGGGGGGAAGGGGGGCAGGGCATGCTACTTTAGTTCGGGAAGCATTCTAATGCTAGGTAATCTGCGGGTTTCCAGAGGTTAGGCTTATACCTTTAGGGTTTACTTCTGCGGTCTATTGTTTGTCAAATTGGTCCAGTTGCACCAAGTTTCTTGAAATTTGAGGGTCTGGGAGGGGGAGGTCAGAGAAATTTTTTCATAAATGTAGTATTGCTGTACCTTATCTTTTAATTGTGATGCTGATGGGCACATTGTGCTTTTCCAGTTAGTCGCTATAAGATTCCTGGCTGCTAGGGAGATCAATGCTATGAGTTGTCGTTGGGTCGGCTGTACTCTAGCGTCTGGTAGGAATAGTATGCAGTTGGAAATGGTTGGTGAGAAGTCTGCAAGCCCCTGCTGTGCCACCAGTGCGCGGGCATCTTCCCATAAAGGTGTGATGCCAGCGCAGGCCCACCAAATGTGCTTCATCGTGCCTGTCTCCACTCCACACCTCCAGCACAGGGGGGACACTGTTGGGTATATCTTGTGTAGTTTGGATGGGGTAAGGTACCAAGGGTAGAGCAGTTTTTTTGTGGGCTTCTATATGGGAATAACATTTTGTCCACCTTGACAGCCCGTTCAGGGCCCCCAACCATTCCCTTTCTGTGAGGTTTCTATCTAAATCCCTTTCCCATTGGGTTTTGCATAGCGGTGGTACATTTGGCTGCAGTTCTAGCCATGCTCTGTAACATATGGAGAGGGCTTTGGGCTTAGTCAGTGTTTCTCTGCATCTGAGCATAACCAGGGAAGGTGTTATCGGGTTTATTGGTCCATTTTCCTTTTTTCATTTGCCATCTTGAGTTTGTTTACTTTTTTTACTAGTGCCCTGTTTGACCACTATTGATCCATATTAGTTTTGTTTTTTGTTTTATCGCCTTTTAAGAAAATGAATTAAACAAACTTTTGGCCGGTTTTCTACTATACCGAATGAGAGGAGCATAGATGGAGAATAGAGACGTACGAATGAGAATTTATGCAAGTGGAGTTCCAGTGGATATGGTGATATGCCTATTCTGTGTTTATATCTTGTAAGTGTTACCAATAAATGTAGTCTTTTATAACCAGTGAAGATCTACTCTATGTGTCCACTTCTCTCACCATATGTATGTTTTGGATGTGAGAACAAAGAAGAGAAAAGAGTCCAGTATTTGAGAAGTTTTAAGGCCCACTATCAATAATAGTGATGTCGCGAACCGTTCGCGGCAAACTCCGGTCAGCTGACACATCCCTGCCAATCTCCGGCAGACCCTCCCTCCCAGACCCTCCCACCTCCTGGACAGCATCCATGTTGAAGCTGCCTTCAACATGGATGCTGTCCAGGAAGTAGGAGGGTCTGGGAGGGAGGGTCTGCCAGAGATTGGCAGGGATGTGTCAGCTGACCGGAGTTCGTCACGAACGGTTTGCGACATCACTATTATTGATAGTTTGCGGTGAACCGTTCGCGGCAAGTTCGCGAACGGTTTGCGACATCACTAATTAATAAGTGTTTGTGAGTGCAATATATAATTTTATCCTGGGGTTGATACCTTACTGTATAACACTATTTTAGTGTTTGTTATAGTAGATATTGATGTGTGTTCTCTGATTCAGAAAATAGTTTGCCCCATTACTGGGGAATTGCACCAGTGTGCTCCTACCATCATAACCATTACACTAGACCACCAGAGATTCATATTAATCCCCACTAGACAATCAGAATTTCATATTAATCCCCACTGGACCATGATGGATTCATATTAACCCTGAATGAATACTAAATCTCCAAAAATGTTAAGCAGGACAGGGGGCAAAACAATTATTTTTACTGCGTAAATTAAAGGAACAAACACCATAACCGCAACAGTGCTTTTTAGTAAGTATGTGGCAAGGAATGCCTTGGTGCCTCTCCCCGTGTAAGTAGTCAATGTTTTACAATGCTTCTTTAACAACTTCAGGTAAGTTTGGAGGTGCACAGCTTAGCTCTTTGGCAGAGAGGGATCCACTGACAATTACAGCCAATGAACTAGCACTGTACAGCAGGGCTAAGCTCAGGACTCAGAAAAGCTATTAGAAGCTCATGATTATGTGCTTCTGGTTCTCTGACTGAAGAAGAGGAGGTTGGGAGCAGTTTAAGTGTAGGTAGGGTGGGGAACATTCTAAGTGGAGGTGGGGTGCCAAGAGAAGTAGCTCTGTCAAGGTTAATGAGTATTGTATAGCACGGATAAGTGATCAGGAAGCTCCAAAGAAATAATCTCTGTGTTTAAATGTAGTGCTCTATGTAAATGTGGTATATTTTACCTTGGGAGGGGGTGGGTTGGGGGTGCTGAAATTCCCTACAAGGTCCTAGAGCCCAAAATACTACTGCATTTTGAAATCTGCAGGTAGATAACTATATTTGCTAGGACAGTACCCCAAACTCCAGACTCTTCCAGCTAATTTGGAACTGTTGGTACTTATCAAAGTCTAGTGCTGCCTGTAAAAGCAATACTGATGTCCGAAAGTGGCTGTCTTTTTACTCAAGATGTTCAAAACCTGATGTTACTATGAAATAAAGTGAGTGAGTTATCTGAGAGCTGCATCATAGCTACCATGTCAATCGGGGCGTTTTAGGTGCATTTTAGACTTGTCCAATTAGGAGCTTATTTGGATTTGAATAATTTTCAAGATTGGCTTACTAATTTTGAAGGGTGGCAAATGTTGTGAATGCCCTCTGATATTTTTGCCTTGCAACTGACTTAGATTTCTCTGATTGTTTTTTCAAGAATTTTGCAAAAACTTTTTAAGTAAACAAATCCTTTTTAAGTATGCGAAGAGTCCACACAACATCCCTATTTTCAGACAACAAATTAAACAATGCCTTGGTGATGTTTAAGAATTGTATCTAGAAAATGTCATCCACATATAACTAGTTTCACAAAAACAATATTGTTAACATATAAAATATTGTAAAATCAGAAGAATAGCATAACCTAACTTTCCACAGATGTACACTGACACCCAGTGGATAGAAACTGTATTACTAGGGATAAATATAAACTAAACGGTAGTTGTCTGTCAGATTGTCCCTCACCACCTTCTTGCATTAGCAGATATCTGAAGTTCCACTGGGACTCCTGATAGGCCAGAGAGGCCTGTTTGGCTCTAGGTTGCCTACCCCTGTCCTAGAGATTATGTGGCAGGCTTATGCAATGTATGATCATGTACTGTAACTAAACCCCCATTATTTTTGTCAAGATTAGGTGTTTAAAAAAAAATAAAAAAAAAATCTGTGAGATTTGAAGTTGCTGTTTAGTGGATGAGTGAGTGCGCTGGATCTTGTGTGTAATGATTTAGAAGTTATCTAGCTTTTGTGCTGTGGAGATGTGGAGGCATTACTGTTTTGGGCTACAATACTACAAATACAAACACTCTTTTTATCCTTTGCTCCCAATGTTTTTGTTATATGCTGTCTTACTTTGTTTTCGCCATGTTCTACTTTTGTATGTTGCACTTCTCAATGTTGTCATTCCGTAATCCTGCCATCAAGAAACACTATTGCCATGAAAAGGTGTGCGTGGTGTGCAACAATCTCCAGGTAGGTAGTATGTATCAAAGTTACATCCACATGAATGCCACAACCCAAAGCTTCTCAGCAGAACATTGCCCAGAGCATAAGCAGCATATCATGCTGCCATCTCTTGCCCAGATGACACAGGGTCATCCACCTTATTTAAAAGAAAACCTGGTTCATCAGACCAGGCATCTTTCTTCCATTGCTCCATGGTCCAGTTTTTTGCTTACGTCCTCTTTGACGGCACTGTCAGCATTAAACAAGAATCATCATGGGCACTCTGACCTGCCGTCACTTCCTCCCAGCACAACTTGTGGCTGACACGGCCACAGCCTAGACCGGGCCCCTGAAGATATAGGGCCCGTCAGGTGCCCCTAAGTGCATATACATACAAACATATATCTACACACACACACATACACACAAACAAAAAGACACATGCACATAAACACTCATACATTGACACACATATACATACACTGGCACACACATTGACATACATACACACACATACCTACATATACACATTAACACACTCACAGATACACACACATACACACACTGGTACACACTCATACCTACACATATACACTGGCACACACACAGATACACACTGGGACCACACAGATACACACACATACCTACCCATACACACACTGGCACACACACAGGTACGCACTGGCACACACACATACACACATACTCCTGATCAGACCTTCCATTGGGGGAAGCGTGCCTGGATATTTCCCGGTACACCGATATTGCAAGGTCCCGGCCTTGCACCTTAAGGCTGTTTAGCAATAATACCCATTGGGTGGACCTTTGGCCAACCCAGGCGGAAGTTCCCCCACTGGAAGTGACAGTGCGCTGGTGATGGAGGTGTTTAATCTCCCCACTGGCTCTAGAAGGCAGACAGCAAGGTCGGCTCTGCATGGGCCAGCAGGGAAGATGAAAGGATTTCCCTTGTCTGCCTTCACCCATGGCCATCATGGCCCACCAGAAATTTGCCTGGTTTGCCCAATGGATACTCTAGGCCTTGATGTAAGTAGCACACCACAACAATTGACTTCTAACCTGGGATCTGCTGATCCTTGCCTCAACAGAGACCTGGAAGCTCATGAAAGAGCAAAAGCTCAACATGGAATCTACCACTTAACATTTGTGGTTGGGAAATTATTTAAAGGGCTGTTAAGAGAAAATATTCAAGAATTAGCAGGAATCAACATGGTTATGTGAAAGGCAGGTCATGACAAACTAACTTTTTTATATGTATAATTGTTATTAATTATAAACATGTAGAAAAAATAAGGTCTAAAGATAACTACATATTATCAATTGTACACATATTTTACATATGATATGTATAGATGTACATAATATATATGAATAACAAAGACTATCCCTTACACATATAAAAGACAAAACATAACACAACACTCTACCAAGATTGCGTTTCAGTCAGTTTAGGTCACCTAAAGGAGGTCCCCACGGGATTAGATAGGGGCGATAAACTAAGACAAACTAACTTAATTGCATTCAATGAAAACATTTTGTAGAAATATAGATCAGGGTGATGTGGTTGATGTGATCTATTTGGATTTTGCTAAGGCATTTGACAGCTCCACACAAAAGCTTATTAGTAAAACTGAAATCAGTTGGTATAGATGAAAAATCATGTTATTGGGTAAAACAATAGCTTATAAATAGAGTGCAGAGAATAGTTGTAAATGGAACATTTTCAAATTGGACAAAAATAGTAAGTGGAGTGCCTCAGGGTTCTGTCCTGGGTCCACTTCTCTTTAATTTGTTTTTAAATTATCTTTAAGTGGGAATTGAATGTAATTTGTCGGTGTTTGTAGAGGATGCCAAACTAGGTAAGAAAATACAGTCTGAGCATTATATAATTTCTCTACTGAGGGTTTTGGATAAATTGTGAGACTGGGCAAGCAAGTGGCACATAATATTCAATACAGATAAATGTCATGTCGTGTATTTTGGAATAAGGAACCCTCAAGCCACTTATACATTAAATGGAGTTTAGTTAGAGATAGCATTAAATTAAAAGGACTCGGGAACAATTATAGATCAAAAACTAGGGAACAGTATGCAATCCTGGTCTGCAGTTGCAAAAGTTAGTAAGGTGCTTTCGTGGATAAAAAGAGTTTTTGATTCATGTGATCAAAATATAATTTTGTCTCTTTACAAATCAATGGTAAGACCCACCTCGAATATGCGGTAACATTTTTTTGTACCAGTTTTAAGGAAGGCTTTTGCAGAACAAGAAAAAAAGTATAGCAGTGAGCTAGATCATTAGTAAGGGAGGATAGAAAACATTAGTTATGAGGAAAGTCTAGAAAAACTGGATTTGTTTTCTTTAGAACAAAGGAGCCTCAAAGGAGACATGATAGCATTATATAAATATAGTCAGTACACACTGATATGTATTAACCTGCTTATTAGCAGGAATATACAAGACAAAAGGTCATCGATTGAGACTGGAAGAAAGGCATTTTTACTTACAGCAGAGCAAAGGGCTCTTTACAGTAAGATGTAGAATTATTTGTCTAAAGAGGTTGTGTTATCTGATCTATAGATAATTTTTTTAAATGGCTTGGATGTTTTTTTGCATGATCAGATTATTCAAGTATAATGTTAACATGTATGTAAACAAGTTGTTGTTCCAAGGAGAAATCTGATTGCCATTATGGAGTCAAGAAGGAATGTTTTTCCCTTTTTGTGACAGTATCTACAATAGTTTTGTTTTGTTTTTTACCTTCTTTTGGATCAACAGCATAAAATAATGGGCTTCAGGGTCGAACTTAATGTACTTTAATGTACTTTAGTCTTTT